TACCTGTTTGATAAGCCTTGAGGCATGTCGTATCACGTGACCATCTGTAACCTGGCACGGAAAGGCGGCAAATTGCTTTCAGCCTCCTCGGCTGCTTGCTTTTGTTGTCGTGTGCCTGTGATCTCTCTAAGAGTAGATCGAACGCTACTTACCCGAGAGACGGTCAATATCTACTCTTTATTCCAACGGTATGGTCAATATCACCAGGGTTATTAAGTAGGCTACCTAATAAAAAAAAACTATCTAAAGCTCTCATTACTTTTTTGGGGGATTGATATGAAAACTTGAAAATTAAATATGACGCGACCGCTGCAGGTACTCAATCGTGTATCGGTCACACCAGCCAGAAGCGGACTACGTCATGCGGTGAGGAGAATAGTTACTGAGAAGAAATTCAATTTTATGTCTTTGTGTATTAGTTCTGATGACACGATTCGAGTTGTAGGGGTAATAATTGGCATTAGCTATATAAACTACGCCTAAAGGACTTATCATCAAAAGATTTCAGATCAGTATTGAAAATAACAGAAGAACCGGTATTCATATTTCTAAGGAACTATAGAAAAAACCTGAATTTCTCTAGACGGGTGTTACCCGTCGCGTCACGTACTCCGGCGAACATTGAGATACAATTCCGTTACAAAAATTACGTTTAAATCGCCAAATTAAAAAGAGTGTAAAACTCTAGCGTCAAATCGTTGGCAGATAAAGAAATGATATTTCCTTTAAGTATTGAGCCATAGTGTGAAAAACAAATTATAAATTAGCCATATCACCACGACCACGTCCGATTACAACAAGAGCTTCAACAACAATGCTATATAGAGCCGAGGAATAATAGTCGACCAAACATCTTCCATTGGGACGGTGAGAATGGTAGAAATGGGCAACAGAGTACGGTCACAATTCACCGACTCCATTCAGACTTCTGCATTTGGGGGCGGACCGCAGAATTTCTGAAGAGTTTGAACCTTTGTCAGTAGAAAGGGCTCTCCTAAATAGCATCGTTTTAAATTTTGAATGATACAAAAACATATTTTTAGCTCAAACGTTGCTGCCCGTCATTAGAATTACAAGGAGAATTATACCTCAAAGGACGTTTGAGCTCCACTCGGTTATACAGAGAACCAGGACAGCCAAGCAGGAGACTTATGGTAAAAGGCATGTACTACAGGACATCGAAATATTACAAACCAGAGACGCTCTGGCCTTGACCTTAAAGCTCCATGCTCTTTAGTTGTCACCAGAACAAGCTCAAAATGTTTAACGTTGATTCGGAGTATTAGTTCGAAAAGAACATCAACTTCATCAATCATTTAATATTTTAAAATGGTATTTTCGACAAAAATGTATTAATTTTTTATAAAAGAATATTCGTGCAGTAAATTATTTGCCTTTGTATCCTCATAACAGGAAGTTCCATGTATCCAGTCTCTATACTTGGTCCAATGGAACTTAAATCATATTAATTTATTTATTTTCGGGTCTTTCGATTAAAGAGCAGATTCAGTGAAAGACACTAATACTAAAGCAGATGTGCGTGTTGTATTGTTTGTTTTCTTTTTCCTAAGTCTCAAATCATTTAATATTCCTTTGTAATAATGTAGATATTTTAAGTAACAAGGAGTTACCTCTGTGATGAAACAGCTGATGATTAAATGTCATACCTCCGTTGTTAAGGAGACGCCTGGGCGTGTAATCAGAAATCATTAGAGACAGAATTCTGTCGTTGATAACCCCCTTTGACAAAATCTTGTAATACATTTTTACGAATTAAATCGTTACCAGCTAACCAAGCATCACCCCATTTTGCTACAGGATTTGTTGTCTTTTCTGATTTCAGTCAGATTTTAAATATTGTTTTGTTTTTGCATGTAGGAGTCAACATATTTATTTACACAGAATTGCCCTCTGTCATCTTGAACATTTTATGTACTCTAAATAATGATATCAATATGCTACCTACAATCTGTATTGCACTTGGAAATTAAAAGAAAATTTGAACTTGCAATCGCATGAATATTTTCATGTTGCCACTAAGTCAGTGTATATAATGATCGGTCCCGCGGAAATCGTAAATAAAATGTTTGTAATTATTATTGTTTTCATTTTTATTTTTTGTTGTTGTCGACTTTTTTTCATAAACTTCTAGTTAAATAGTCAAGTAAATCTACATTTTGTTCTTTAATTACATGTATCATACATAATTCTTTCAAATCTTAAAAAGAATGTGCTGAAAAAATTAAAAGTATTAGTTTAAATCTCAAAATATTTAAAATTATAAGACTTAATTATCTTAACTTTTTACATTCAACAATTTATTAAAAATAAAGTAATAGAATATTTACTGATATGTTTATTCAAAAGCTGATGATTTTTCGAATTGTTATCTAACGTAAAATAAAAAATTACAACTTAACATTTTCACCAGAACTAAAACACTGCCTTATCCCAGGTATATATCAATACGTAAAATTAAGCCGATATAAATAATTCATTGCTGATTTATTTAAAAAGAGTCTTTTTAATGTTTTTATAAATTCGCCGGAAGCTCGTCCGATTAATATTCCCTAACTACTGAGCGTCCATTTCGGGACTACTGCATGCTAACTTTTAATGTCACTCGGCTGTTTACTAATCAAATTTGCCAAGAAGATGACGATTAAATGTTTGCGTGTTTGTGGCTGAGTACCATTACAATGTAATTCAGTAATGGTGACTATGGCCGGTCTACATAGCGTGCTAATTGTGTCTACAATCATTCCTATGAACAGCGTATCATTAACGGGTATTGTATAAGTGCGATTGATTCGAAACACTGAAACTTAATTCATTTTATGCTGATAAAATCTTTCTAAAATCGTAATTAATTCTAATGAAGGCGATATTTGAATTTTTTTTTAAACATCAACAAATATTTTGTACATTATTACAGTAAATAAATGGTTTAAATCATCTCCCGTAATTCTGTAGTTTATCATCATATATAATTTATTAACGAAAAAAAATGGTAATATGATAACTGCTATTAATTGCAGTCCGTCTATGAGTTACAAATTAATTGAAGGATGCTTTTTGTACCGAAGCATCGGCCTGCTAACATTTGCAATAGAGAGAATTAAATATTTATAATGTAACCATATATATGTCATTAAGTTCGGTACAACTTAATACTATAACATTGAATAGAGAGAATAATACTACGTGTTTTATGGTCCACCACCCACGTTTGTTCTATATGTGAAAGTGTACTAATATAGACTTATTGGCATTTTTTTTTTATTTCTCTCTCGCTAATTACTCCCACTAATTTAACTCACTATATATTACAAGTATTTTGCAGAGTTATTGTTTGAACAGGGATAACTTTAACAAAACTAAATATTGACAAATCAATGTTTTGGTACTAGCGGTAAAGGTGAGGCGATAACAGGATGCCTATTTTTTTTATTGTTATAAAGATATATTATTTATCTAGTGTAAATCTACAAACAAATAGGTATATGTGTTTTTCCCCTGCTGTCGATTACTTTGCTAATGCGTTTAACAAATAAATACATTTATCGGCACACCGCGCGCAGATAATACTTTACGGCTCATCTAGACACCTGTAAAAATTTCTCCTGAAAGTCAGGACTCGCTCAACCTTAAGTGTTTTTCTAACGTAGACCAGATAAATACTGATCCCTATTGATACAAATTAAATCCTAAAAATGCCTTGAGAAATTTGTTTAAAGAATTCTTTCATAATTGTTATATTTTTGTAAGTTTTATCATCGCTGTTTGTATAAACTATCGTTCTCATCAATTCGGGTATGAAAATCAGATCCTCTGTAAAATAAACATGTAAGAAAGATTCACAACCCAAAAATCTGAGAGATAAATAGCGAGTGAGTGAATGAGCTCTAAAAATGCAATGACAAAATATTTGTTTTTGTAGGAAAGCGTCCCACCTTGGCCTTTTTAACGTTAGCAACTTGACGCGAATTTCACCCGAGAAAGTGAAAATTCGACAGTCAGTACGCTTACCCAACCGACCTTAACATAACACTATTTCCTAGTTTGAGAATATATATTAGCTAAAAATGAGCAAGTTTACCGGCGGACTGAGTTGAAGGTTTGGAGAGTTAGGATAAAGCTGTCACCCGACGCATTTATCAAACCGTATCTCGTCCCAATCTGAGATATATAGTCCACCCGCTCTGCATGCGTAGCAACAGTGACCGCTGGTATCCGGCTTAAGTTGGACTTTCTAGACCTAACCGCCCCAACACATACCGAACGGTCAGCTACTACCAAAACGGGCTTAGCCCTGTTATAAATGTAAGTATGAAGAATAATTCCCGCCGAACTTTACCGAAAGGTTCTAACTGATTAAAACCTTTCACTTTCTATATCATTGGAAACATAAACAAGACGTAATATATCTGGAAAATAGTGTAATTCTGAGGAATCCGTATCTACAACAGCAAAAATAATAACTTTTAAATATATATAATAATATATAAATCTTACTGATAAAGAGCTGATATCTGAAGAAAAGGAGAGGTAATGTAGAAACAGTACCGCCTAGGTTTCAGACCGATCACAAAGAGAAAGAGTGTTTCACTCTAGAATCCATTTACACATTGTCAATGCTAAAGTATTTTTGTCCATACGAAATAAATTAACACTAAATTATACCTCCCACGAAAAAATATTCGGAAAGTCACTTAACCTTCAAGCTCCAAACTGGGTCCGAAATCCTCCCGGACACATGTCACATTTCCACACACATTCACGGATACCGAAATTCATTTTAAAAAAAAAACAGTACATACATCGTCATTTTGCGTTCGAACACATATTCATCTCTTGGCAAAAACTTCCACATCTCATGTTCAAATACAAGGAAATTGTCTTTGAAATCATTTCTGAACAATAAAGGTAAAATCTTTGGTATATAGCATTTGCTCCTGCCTTCAAATATAAAAATTGTCACAATTTTCCGTCACGGCTCGTCATAAGGCCGCTGTAGAGTGAGGGGCGTATGTCTTGTAGTACCCGTCAGGGGCAGGCTGCATGGGCCCTACTCCCATAGTGTCCTTACCACTCATCATAGGGAGTCCCATGTGGTTGTACCCATAACCACCTTGCATTTCGTACATTTTAAGGTCCATTTTGCTATCGGTGATTAAACTGTTTATAGAGAACGGATGGTTAAACGAGTGGGTGGGGTTGTGATGAGGGTGGTAGCCCTGATGTATCGGATCATGCTGCATGTGCCTCATAGAATGTGGGGGCATCTCGTGGCCCAGGGACACGGGTGGAATTGGAGGGGGTGGCTGCGCCTGTTGCTGATGTTGAGGTGGTGGAGGTGGTGGTGGAGGGGTGTGCTCGATCGGCTGCAGTGGTTCCCGCTTGGTCTCAGTCAGGGTCACGGGCACGTTTCCGGGGGGAGAAGCAGAAGGCGGAGGCGGTGAGCATGGATCACCACGGGGTGACATGGAACATTCACTACCGTCTACAGAATTATCGTGACGTGAAGCCTGACGAATCATCTCCTTTTTCACACACTTGAAACGTTTCTGTCTCCTCAGATAACATCCGTTTTCGAACATATTTCCCGAATCTGGATGCAGGGTCCAGTAACTGCCCTTTCCGGGTCTATCCGGCGTCCTTGGAACTTTCACAAAACAGTCGTTGAAAGAAAGACTGTGACGGATAGAGTTCTGCCAGCGTTGTTGATTCTGGCGGTAAAAAGGGAACAAGTCCATGATAAACTGATAAATCTCACTCAGAGTGTTCATCTTATTAGGTGATTGTTGAATAGCCATAGTTATGAGCGAGATGTAGGAGTACGGAGGTTTAGCATGAGTATAACTACGTCTGTATGTCTTGTCTCGGGCTCGGTTGATGGCTTGTGCCCTGTTAAAAGTATCCATCCTCATTGGGGACATGGCTCCACTCATTCCGTTCATTGGCATTTGTCCCATACTGGACATCCCCGACATTCCATTCATTGAGTTCATAGAGTTCATTCCCGCGTGCATACTCCCGTGCATGCCCATGGGTGCGGCCATCCCCATACTTGTCATCCCCGGGGGGGTCATAGTGCTCATGCCACCCATGGCCGGAGGAGAGTAACTGACGTTGCTCATAGGCATTGTGGTCATCGTCCCCATGTTTCCGATGCTGTTCATACTGGGAAGAGATGTCGGGTAGTTGCTGCCGCTGACCGCATCATACGGGGACTTGGTTGACAACATTGTCAGATAGTCTCCGGACTGTGGACACTCAGGTCCAAGGGGCTGTTTCTCGTACATTTGTATACACTGAACGTTAAACACACACAGCACAGTGTAAATGTAGTACAACACTCGACAACGAACGCCAACGATATCAGCAAACTTGCTTGACCTCGGGTAAATATACAACGTACCTGGACCAACAAATTGTTCGACTCCGCCCACGTATGCAAATCTACGATAAGTACCACTGGTATCGCTATGACAGTTCTAAGCTCCGCCCATTTATTGAACTGCCGGGAAGTTTTGGTCGTCGCTTGATCAGGCGGTCTGTCTGTCAATTGAAGCTTTATACCTCCTCCTTCAATGTTGTCCGTGTAAATAGGAGTAAACTCCCGTCCACAAAACTTCCAAACATCAACACAAACCATGTGTCGGTCAAACCATTGATAATCACGACGTCCTCAATTCAACGTTACTATCCAGCCTTAGCACTACAAACGTCCCAATGTCGTGTTTTCTAATCATTGGTCTGAAATGTTAAGCACATTTCTTAAAAAGCACATGATAAAATGTATTCCTCGAAATAACGCCGAGGGAAATTTTTGCCTCATATATTATTGGTTGTATATTTTTTTTATAGAAATAATAATAAAATATAGAAAATAGTAATCTGAAATGAAAACAAACCCTGGTGATGGTTGGAAATTTTAAATCTCGTTTGAGTTTCATCATCATTTTACAAATCTAGTGAACGGAGCTTCTTTCAAAAGAAAAAGAAACGTCTCTGGTGACAGGTGATCTGTACAAAAGTTTTAACATTTGTATAGCAGTGCTGGTATCTACTGCTGATCAGGCCGGTTCATGTTTGGATGTAAATTAAATATATACTTCTTCAACAAAACGACACAGAAAACCGGAAATTTATTTACTTTAATGCTTTTATTGTAAATATCACTTCAGAATATTTTCTTTATTCGAAAATCCCAGTGTAGTTAGATTACATAAATTAACTATTGTGATGAAGTACGCAAGTGACATTTCGGTTGTTTTTTAGCAGGACGACATACCAAGTGCATATTCAGGGAATTATTTCTTTATTTCTGAAAATTATCGCTCACTATTATAACTTTAACTTTTTCACCATTCCTTATAAAAAGCATTATTTTGATTTCGTGGTTGTACATTTTATATTGTTGATAGTATAATCATGTTTCGTCAGTTAAATAAAGCAGATTAAAAATGCATAATTTATGGGGGAAATATAATGAAAAAAGGGTGATGTTGTATATTTAATTTTCATTATCTAAAATCATAGATAAATAGCATAGATAAAAAGATTTAAACGTTTTAAAATAATTTTTACGAGAATCATATTCCTATTAAAATGATTTAAAACTCTCAAACACAAAATTCTCACTCTGGTCCCGGCCGAGGTGCACACGTGGTCTAGTACACCACAATCAAGCCTAAAGCGATACATAAAGCTCCGATCAGCCCGGTATTGATCAGAATTATATTTCTCTTGTTGTCCTATTGTCCGGTTTGGGTGAAAACGTTCATTGATTGTCAAATGCAGCGTTAAAAGAGATATTGAATGTTTCTCGGCAGTTTTATGTGGCCACAACAGAAATATCGTATTTGACGGAGCAGTACACGGGACTGGTATTTTACTCGAGTCACACCTGTCGTCGATTTCATCAACCATTAACCCTTAGATCATGATGTTGTAATTGTCTCTTCTGTGTCTCGTGATTCAGTGATTTAAATTTATCTATCTAGTTGATACAATTCGTTCTCACTTGTTTCAGTGAGAATTTAAAAAAAAAATCAGGCAAAAGGAAGGAAATTAAATCAACAATGAAAACAATCTTGTTGCATACATATATATTTTTTTTCATTTGTCATTCATTCATTTTTTAATCCTAAAGTCAGTTGAATATTATTCATAATTCCTTTTATTTTGATCTGATCAATTTTTTATGTCGATATGTTAGTTGATCGTTAAAATGTTTGTTATTTTACAATAACGTACAATTAGTCGGGTCTGCCATTAATCAGAATTTGCCTTATCAATAAAACGGAACGAATTTAATCAAAATTTATCATAAAATCTATCTCGGAGTGAAGCTCGGGGAAAACGTTATATTTTCGATGTATAATTAATTAGGAAATCTGATTGATGGCGATTGGAAGATTGAATTATCCTGAAGGTGAAAGGTCAGCATGACGTTATTAAGGAGGAAGCTCACGGTGATGAATGCGGATAAATACAACCGTCTCCGGGCAGCGAATCATATCTCAGGTGTTCCTCACCTCGCGTGCACGTGGGTCCATTAGAAAAAAAGATGTCATCTAATCAGGGCACAGAGCATCCCTTATCTTGTCTCTCCCTCTGTTGTAAAGGTGGTCCTAGTTCCATTGTGTCTGACAATTCATTTCTGAGTAAATTGTAATCGTAAACGTCAAAACGGGATATGCTTACGCCATATCCTGTGTAGTAGAGCCCCGGGGGGAGTAACCAGGTTTTTTTCTTTATCCCCACCCACAGGCATGTTACGGTTGTTTTTGTCTTTTTGACTTTTAGTATGAAAGTGTGATGTTGACAGAGTTCGGGCACACTTACCACCCGCGCAAAACTGTCACCACGAATATTTACCCAACTCTGACACACGTTTCTGAAAATAGTTTTACTTTAACAAGCAAAAGCTACGACCATTTTAAACATATATGTTCATTTTTTTTTCAGAATGTTAATGGTGACTTTTTTTCTTCACATTATTGTACAACAAACAAAACATTGTCTTGATAATTAAAATAGGCGCTACCAGACATCACAATATGAAGCATATACATTGTCAGGTAAAACAAAGTAAGGTTTGGGCTAATAATCATATAAATTAAGGTTTAATCTTTCAGGCCCTAGAAACTTGACTTGAGCCATCATGTCCAACAAATTAGGCTTGAGCCATCAGGTCCTACAAACTAAGACTTGAGCCATCATGTCCAACAAACTAAGGCTTGAGCCATCAGGCCCTAGAAACTAAGACTTGAGCCATCATGTCCTACAAACTTAGGCTTGAGTCATCAGGTCCTACAAACTTACGCTTGAGCCATCAGGTCCTACAAACTTACGCTTGAGCCATCAGGTCCTACAAACTAAGGCTTGAGTCATAAGGTCCTACAAACTAAGGCTTGAGCCATCAGGTCCTACAAACTTACGCTTGAGCCACCCAGTCCTACAAACGTAGGCTGGAGCCATCAGATCCTACAAACTTAGGCTTGAGTCATTAGGTCCTACAAACTTAGACTTGAGTCATAAGGTCCTACAAACTTAGACTTGAGTCATTAGGTCCTACAAACTTAGACTTGAGCCACCCAGTCCTACAAACTTAGGCTTGAGCCATCAGATCCTACAAACTTAGGCTTGAGTCATTAGGTCCTACAAACTAAGGCTTGAGTCATAAGGTCCTACAAACTTAGACTTGAGCCATCAGGTCCTACAAACTTACGCTTGAGCCATTAGGTCCTACAAACTTAGTCTGGAGCCATCAGGTCCTACAAACTTACGCTTGAGTCATAAGGTCCTACAAACTTACGCTTGAGTCATAAGGTCCTACAAACTTACGCTTGAGTCATAAGGTCCTACAAACTAAAGCTTGAGCCATCAGGTCCTACAAACTTAGACTCGAGCCATTAGGTCCTACAAACTAAAGCTTGGGCCATCAAGTCCTACAAACTTAGGCTTGAGTCATGAGGTCCTACAAACTTACGCTTGAGTCATCCGGTGATACAAACTAAGATTTGAGCCATCCGCTCCTACAAACTTAGGCTTGAGTCATGAGGTCCTACAAACTTACGCTTGAGTCATAAGGTCCTACAAACTTAGGCTGGAGCCATCAGGTCCTACAAACTTAGTCTTGAGCCATCAGGTCCTACAAACTTACGCTTGAGTCATCCGGTCCTACAAACTTACGCTTGAGTCATCCGGTCATACAAACTAAGATTTGAGCCATCCGCTCCTACAAACTTAGGCTTGAGTCATCAGGTCCTACAAACTAAGGCTTGAGCCATTAGGCCCTACAAACTTAGGCTGGAGCCATCAGGTCCTACAAACTTAGTCTTGAGCCATCAGGTCCTACCAGTGTGTATAGAAAGACACTCACTAGAAAATGGTTCAGTTTTTGTTTATTTGGGTTTTTTTTTGCAGGAGGATTATCTTTAGTTGTATGCCTCGCTGTACCAGTATATGTTTAGAACAATTTTAGCAATAAAATAAAAAGTTATGACTTAACATAAATAAACAACATGCACCAACTGACGATACCATTTAGTTGAAATATATTTTGTTTCTCTTACAATATTTAAGCAAGATTATTTGGAAAAAATTATGTATTTCACCGAAACCCTCTCCCCTCGGGATACGATGGCCCCAATGTTTTTTTCTTAACAATCTTACATAGTCTTACAATGGACACAGGATAGAAAATAATTGAATCATTTGAAAATTTAGCATTATCATAATTCACTCAATAATTTTATCTATCGCAATATGCAGTAGTTGTAAGATTATTTTCTGGGCCTATTTCGTCAGAGAGAGTGTAATTATGAATGAAGCACCTAATGGTTAACGGCGAAAATATCCTACTTAAATTTTATGATTTAATTTAACACAACACAAGAACTTACTTTTAGCAATAGTCTCTGTCCAAAGTTATTAACAATGACCTCATGCTATTAAATGATAAGTATATCAAACATTAGCCAATGGGAACGCTTCTGTCAAGAAGGGGTAAATCATTTTGAACTGGCACAAAAATTTTTGAACGTGTAATCTGGGACCAACCGGCAAATTATTCCATTGGGAGTTTTGACGTAAATATACAAAGTTTTGAATCAATGTGTCCTGAGTTTGGGAGGGGTAAGGAGCAGGGGAACATGGGGCTATTATCCCAGGTAAATCTGTTTTTATTGTTTTATCGCCCGGCAACAAAGATTTGACACCCGGCTCTACAAGGTGCTTATAGTACATACGTAATAGGGATCTGTCACCATATAAACTTGGCAATCAGGAGAAG